AGAAAGATAGAGAAGCAAGGAAGGAGAGAAGGAAATAAAAAAGTGAAAGGAAAAAGAGAGGGAAGGAAGGAGAGAAGGAACAAAAGATAGGGAAGGAAGGAAGGATGTAACCAAAGAGCAAAGAAAGGGAGGAAAGAAACAGGTAGAGATGGAAGAAAGATGAGAGATAGGGAAAGAAAAAGAGGAAAGGAAGGAAAGAGGGAAGGGAGGAGAGAAAGAGGGAGGGAAGGTTGGCCACAGCAACGCGTGGCGGGTACAGCTAGTAGATAAATAAATAAGTAGTATGCCATGAGGATGCCCATTGCTGGGCCATGGGAGAAGTACACTGGTTTTGTACCCAGCAATTTGCCACCATTGACAACCAAACATTGGACTCAGCAGCTCTTTGGCCTGAGTCAACAGGGTAGTTCTTATGCATTTGCTAGCCTGAGCCACATTCCTCAAAAGGCCAACAATCACACATCATACAATTATAGTCCCGTGAAGTCCACTGAACAATGGATACACTCAGTAACTACAAAAGGTGAATTGTACGCAGCTACAAAAGATGGATTGTAATCAGAAGGGTTAAAAAGGTAAATGGATGGTGAGATGGGTGGAAAGGGTGTTTCCCATGTGCCTTCCTTCACAGAATGATGGAATCCTAGAGTTGGAAGAGACCTCGTGGGCCATCCAGTCCAACTCCATTCTGCCAGGAAGCAGGAAAATCGCATTCAAAGCACCCCCGACAGATAGCCATCCAGCCTCTGCTTGAAAGCCTCCAAAGAAGACGCTTCCACCACCCTCTGTGAGAGTTCCACTGCTGAACAGCTCTCACAGTTAGGAAGTTCCTCCTCATGTTCAGGTGGAATCTCCTTTCTTGTAGTTTGGAGCCATTGTTCCACATCCTAGTCAGCAGAAAACAAGCTTATGACTTCAGTTTTGGATTGCAAGTTCTATAATCCACGACATGGATCCTGTAAGTTTTCAGGCTTCAAACAAGCTGCTTTTTTTATACCACAACAACCCCAAAGTGCACAATTGATGACATGGATGCAATGGAACGCCCTATCTAGTTCAACCCTCTCAACTGAACCAACCTCACAGGATTGTTGTAAGGAGAAATAATAGAAAAGGAGAAAACAAGGCAGCTGTTTGGGGCTACAATTCCCACAATCCCTCTCCGCCAGCGCAATGGGAGTTTGGTACGGCCCAAAATATCCGAAGCCTTAAAGCAATGTTTCTCGGCCTTTCTAACGCTGGGACCCCTTAATACAGTACCTCATGTTGTGGTGACCCCCAACCATAACATTATTTTCATTGCTACTTCATAACTGTCATTTTGCTACTGTTAGGAATCGTAATGGAAATATCTATTCTTCAGGGACCAAATTTGGCACAAATACCCAATACACCCAAATTTGACTGGTGGGGTTGAGAGGGATTGATTTTTTCATTTGGGAATTATAGTTCCTGGGATTTATAGTTAACCTACAATCAAAGAGCATTCTGAGCTCCACCAATGATAGAATTGAACCAAACCTGGCACACAGAACTCCCATGACCAACAGAAAATACTGGAAAGATTTGGTAGGCATTGACCTTGAGTTTGGGAGTTGTAGTTCACCTACATCCAGACAGCACTGTGGACTCAAACAATGATGGATGTGGACCAAACTTGCCACGAATGCTCAATATGCCAAAATGTGAATACTGGTGGACTTTGGGGGAAAACAGACCTTGACATTTGGGAGTTGTTGTTGCGGGGATTTATAGTTCACCTACAATCAAAGAGCATTCTGAACTACACCAATGATGGAATTGAACCAAACTTGGCACACAGAACTCCCATGACCAACAGAAAATACTGGAAGGTTTGGTGGGCATTGACCTTGAGTTTGGGAGTTGCAGTTCACCTACATCCAGAGAGCACTGTGGACTCAAACAATGATGGATCTGGACCAAACTTGCACGAATACTCAATATGCTGAAATGTGAACACTGGTGGAGTTTGGGGAAAACAGACCTTGACATTTGGGAGTTGTCGTTGCTGGGATTTATAGTTCACCTACAATCAAAGAGCATTCTGAACACCACCGACGATAGAATTGGGCCAAACTTCCCACACAGAACCCCCATGACCAACTGAAAACATTGTGTTTTCTGGTGGTCTTTGGCAACTGCTCTGACACCCCCTTGCGACCCCCCCCCGGGGGTCCCAACCCCCCAAGTTGAGAAACACTGTTTTAGAGTATTTATGGGATAAATTTACCTCTACTTTATGTTAAGAGATGTGGAGTGGCAGGTGTCCTTTTTTATAACTGTGACCATCAGAAAATACTGTGTTTTTGGATGGTCTTTGGTGACCACTTTGATCCCCCCCCCATCACGCCCCCCCCCCCAGGAGTCCCGATTCCCTGCCTTAAAATATCTCTTTGCCAAAACCGACATTTCGAGCTTTCCTCCATGTCCATTTCACGCTACATTTCATGAGCTGAAGGTTTTACACTTAATTAAACTGGAAGGACAACCGACCAGCATATGGTCCAGTGCCGCTTTTCTGCTGACAAAAGATCAAAAGCCACGCTTTGTACTGATACACTTTGTACTAACACACCGCCGCACACTACGTTTCGAAACCGCCTCCCTTGGTGGGGTTGCAAGGATCTCAAGGCAATTCCACCAAGCCGAAATTGACCTCAGGGCTGTTATGAATTGTGGGAGTTAATGTCCAAAACACCTGGAGGGCCAAATTTTGCCCAGGCCTGGTGTAGAAGGACCCAAGGTGTTCCATTATTACTTTTAGCCAACCTTAGAGGTGAGGTGACAATGCTCAGACTCTCGCAGCACAATCTATGAGGAACGTTTCCCAGCCCCAGTGGAAGAAGCCACGCCACTGTGGGTGCCAGTCAACTAAAAGGGCCACCCATTGAGCTTCTGTGAACAGGTAGCAAAAAGTCTTGGGCCATCCATGCCAAGAGGAAGGTAAACCTGGCTTGGGCAATGGCCAACCACAAGCTCTTCAACCATCCTGAGGCTTACAGGTGAGCAGATACAAAGGGAGGCAGGATCCTTCCTCAAAGCAAACAAGAGGCTCCTCAGGAACCAGATCTTCCAAATCCAGAGCCCCTTCCACACAGTTGTGTCAAATCTACATGGAACTGGATAATATGGCAGTGTGGAATGACTCAGATAACCCAGTTCAAAGCAGATAATGTGGATTCTCTGCTCACCCACACAGATATACATACACGTACATACACTGGTAAAAGTATGATAGCTGGGACCGAGTGCTGGTAGTGCTATGCTGATTCCGCAATGGTGGTTGCGAATAAGGAACACATGTGTGACCACGTGGTCGAGAGTGCGGGCGGACTGAGAGACGCAGGCAGGACAGAGTCGGCAAGATAGTTCGTAGGAATGGAAGATGAGCCCAATGGCGGGGGGACAGAAAGGGGGGACGGACAATAAACAGGGGATTACTTCATCTGTGTCCCATCTGTGGTGTCTGTTCAGTGGTATCCTGCCTCTGCATTCCGCTATGACTTTGGTGGTATCAGCGTTGGCGAAGCAGCATTGCGGAATCAGCGTAGCGCTACCAGCACTCAGTCCTAGCTATCATACTTTTACCCACACACGTACACACAGGGATACAAACACATATATACACATACACAGAGATATACATACTCACATACATGTACACACACATATACACAGAGATACATATGCAGATATACAGAGATACCCATATATACGTATACATATACACAGATACACACGTATATACACATACACACAGATATACAGACACATACTTACACACATATACACAGAGATACACACACATACATGTACACATACACACAGATATGCATACATACACACATATACAGATACACATGCATATATACAGACACACACATATATACATATACACACAGAGACATGCATACACATACATGTACACATACACACAGATATACACATACATACACACAGATATACATATACACATATACGTACATATATATACACACACAGATATACATAATTACTTACACACATATACACAGAAATACACACATGTACACATACACACAGATATACTTTCACACGTATACACATACACATGCATATATACATATATACAGACACATACATATACACACAGACATACATGCACATGCATGTACACAGCTCTATACACATACATATATACACATACATACACACAGATATATATACACACACACATATATATATATACATACACACATACACACAGATATACACAAATACTTACACACATATACGCACATGTACATGTACACATACACACAGATATACTTTCACACGTATACACATACACATGCATATATACATATATACACATACATATACACACAAGACATACATACACATACATACACACAGAAATACATATACACACATACTTACACACATATACACAGAAATACACACACGTACATGTACATATACACACATACACATATACACTTACAGATACACAGATATGCATATATACACGTACATATATACACACACTGAGATACACACACACATATATATACATGATCGTCCAGAAAGGACCCTTCCCAGGATCAGAACTTCCTGACTGTGAGAGCTGTTCATCAGTGGAACTCTCTGCCCTGGAGTGTGGTGGAGGCTCCTTCTTGGGAAGCTTTGAAAGCCGAGGCTGGGTGGCCATCTGTCGGGGGTGCTTTGAATGTAATGTTCCTGCTTCTTGGCAGAAAGGGGTTGGACTGGATGGCCCATGAGGTCTCTTCCAACTCAATGATTCAGAGGGAGGAGGAGAGAGGCTCCCTTTTGGGGGGTGGTGGGACCTCTCCTCCCCCAAAGCTTCCCATTCGCAGGTCGAAGCCTTGGCAATCCCACAGGGATCCTGGCATTGGTGGGATGGTGGGCTGCCCCATAGGGAACTTTTCCCAACTTTTTGGGAGGGGGGGTGGAGGGTGGGAAAGGGGGAGGCTGCTCACCTGCCCTGCACCCCGTGGAGGAGGTGGTTCTTCTCCATCCCGGCCCCGCAGGTGTTCCCCCTCCGGAGAAAAGAGAAGGGCCGCCCTCCCCACAGCTGCCTCTTATACTCTGCGGCCGGACGGAGCAGCCCGGGTGGAAAGCCCACGGAAACCGTGCGCAAAGGCCGGGGGGCGGCGGAGGGAGGGCGGCTCGGACCGGCTGCAAACCAGGGAAGGAAGCACTCCAAGACGAAGACCAGTCCTTGGCCAGGAACACAGACTCTCCTCCATATTGATGACTATTTGGGAAGTTTGGTCATCTCTCTGGAGGCAGGGTGAACTACAACTCCCGCGCGGGGCAGTAGGGAGGGGGTCATTCCACCCCAAATCCCTCCAGTATGCTATCTTGGCCCGGGTTATTCGAAAAAAAAGTACTGTTTTTTTTGGGGTGTGACTATTCGTGCCAAGTTTGGTCCAGATCCATCATTGTTTGAGTCCACTGGATGTAGGTGAACTATAACTCCCAAACTCCACAAGTGTTCACATTTGGGCATATTGGGTATTCGTGCCAAGTTTGGTCCAGATCCATCATTGTTTGAGTCCACTGGATGTAGGTGAACTATAACTCCCAAACTCCACAAGTGTTCACATTTGGGCATATTGAGTATTCGTGCCAAGTTTGGTCCAGATCCATCATTGTTTGAGTCCACTGGATGTAGGTGAACTATAACTCCCAAACTCCACAAGTGATCAATGCCCACCAACCCCTTCTAGTGTTTTCTGTTGGTCATGGGAGTCCTGTGTGCCAAGTTTGGTTTACAATTCCACTAATTTCAGCCTTGCTGTCGGTCCAGATCATCATGTTGAGTCCACTGGTCATGTCGTATACAACTATTAAGGTCTATTTTCCCCAAACTCCACAAGTGTTCACATTTGGGCATATTGAGTATTCGTGCCAAGTTTGGTCCAGATCCATCATTGTTTGAGTCCACTGGATGTAGGTGAACTATAACTCCCAAACTCCACAAGTGTTCACATTTGGGCATATTGAGTATTCCTGCCAAGTTTGGTCCAGATCCATCATTGTTTGAGTCCACTGGATGTAGGTGAACTATAACTCCCAAACTCCACAAGTGTTCACATTTGGGCATATTGGTATTCGTGCCAAGTTTGGTCCAGATCCATCATTGTTTGAGTCCACTGGATGTAGGTGAACTATAACTCCCAAACTCCACAAGTGTTCACATTTGGGCATATTGAGTATTCGTGCCAAGTTTGGTCCAGATCCATCATTGTTTGAGTCCACTGGATGTAGGTGAACTATAACTCCCAAACTCCACAAGTGTTCACATTTGGGCATATTGGGTATTTGTGCCAAGTTTGGTCCAGATCCATCATTGTTTGAGTCCACTGCATGTAGGTGAACTATAACTCCCAAACTCCACAAGTGTTCACATTTGGGCATATTGAGTATTCCTGCCAAGTTTGGTCCACATCCATCATTGTTTGAGTCCACAGTGCTCTCTAGATGTAGGTGAACTACAACTCCAAAACTCAAGGTCAATGCCCACCAAACCTTTCCAGTATTTTCTGTTGGTCATGGAAGTTCTGTGTGCCAAGTTTGGTTCAATTCCATCATTGGTGGAGTTCAGAATGCTCTTTGATTTTAGGTGAACTATACATCCCAGCAACTACAACTCCCAAATATCAAAGTCTCAATTCCCCCCACAACCCCACCAGTATTCAAATTTGGGTGTATCGTGCATTTGTGCCAAATTTGGTCCAGTGAATTAATATACATCTTGCATATCAGATATTTACATTATGATTCATAACAGTAGCAAAATGACAGTTATGAAGGAGCAACAAAAATAATTTTATGGCTAGGGGTGACCACTGTATGAAGGGGTCGCGGCATTAGGAAGGTTGGGAAGCACTGTCTTAGAGGGGAAAGCTAGTCTTGTTAATTTTTTTATGTATGCTCCCATTAGAAAATACATGAGGATATGAGTGAACTACAATTTCCAACGTTGTGGGCCAATCACCCCAAACCCCACCAGTATTCAAAGCTGGCCATGCTAGGTCTGTGTGCCAGGTTTGGCCCAGATCAGACCTCGGCTGCATTCAGTGCTCTCTGGATAAGAGTGAACTACAACTCCCAGAGCCATGATCATTCACCCCCAAACCCCGACTGTATGCACAGTTGGCCATGTTGGGTCTGTGTGCCAGGTTTGGTAAAGATCAGACCTTGGCTGCATTTAGTGCTCTCTGGATAAGAGTGAACTACAACTCCCAGAGCAATGATCATTCACCCCCAAACCCCGACTGTATGCACAGTTGGCCATGTTGGGTCTGTGTGCCAGGCTTGCTCCAGATCCATAGTTGGCTGGGTTCAGGGTTCTCTGGTTGTGAGGTCCTCACAACGTCTGAGGAAGCCTGACATACATGCAGGCGAAACGTCAGGAGATAATGCTTCTAGGACTTGGCCATACAGCTCGAAAAACCTACAACAACCCAGTGATTCTGGCCATGAAAACCTTTTGCAATACAGTAGTAGAGTTTTTGTTTGTTTGTTTGGTCATGTCAGGAGCGACTTGAGAAACTGCAAATCGCTTCTGGAGTGAGAGAATTCGCCGTCTGCAAGGAAGTTGCCCAGGGGACGCTCGGATGTTTTTGATGTGTTACCATCCTTGTGGGATGCTTCTCTCATATCCCCGTATGAGGAGCTGGAGCTGATAGAGGGAGCTCATCCGCGCTCTCCCTGGATTTGAACCTGCAACCTGTCGGGTCTTCAGTCCTGCCGGCAGAGGGGTTTAGCCTACTGCGCCACTGGGGGATCCGGTAGAGTTGGGTGTCATCTGCATATATATGTCACTGTATTCCAAAACTCCGGATGACCTCTCCCAGAGGTTTCATGTATATGTTGAGCAGCATGGAGGACAAAATGAACCACTGAGGAACGCCACAGGAAAACGGTCAGGGGTTCGAACAGGAGTCCCCAGCACCACTTTTAGGGTCTGGCTCTCCAGGAAAGAACGGTGCCACTGCAACATTTGGGCATATTGAGTATTTGTGCCAAGTTTGGTTCAATTCCATCATTGGTGGGGTTCAGAATGCTCTTTGATTGTAGGTGAACTATAAATCCCAGCAAGTACAACTCCCAAATGTCAAGGTCTATTTTCCCCAAACGTCACCAATGCTCATATTTGGGCATATTGAGTATTTGTGCCAAGCTTGGTCATCCATCATTGTTTGAGTCCACTGTGCTCGCTGAATGTAGGTGAACTACAACTCCCAAACTCAAGGTCAATGCCCACCAAACACTTCCAGTATTTTCTATTACTCATGGGAATTGTGTCTGCCAAGTTTGGTTCAATTCCATCATTGGTGGGGTTCGGAATGCTCTTTGATTGTAGGTGAACTACACATCCCAGCAACTACAACTCCCGAATGTCAAGGTCTATTTTCCCCAAACTCCACATTTCGGCATATTGAATATTTGTGCCAAGTTTGGTCCAGATCCATCATTGTTTGAGTCCACAGTGCTCTCTGGATGTAGGTGAACTCCAACTCCAGAACTCAAGGTCAATGCCCACTAAACCAATCCAGTATTTTCTATTGGTTGTGGGAGTTCTGTGTGCCAATATTGGTTCAATTCCATCGTTGGTGGAGTTCAGAATGGTCTTTGATTGTAGGTGAACTATAAATCCCAGCAACTACAACTCCCAAATGACAAATTCAACCCCAACCCCACTAGTATTCAAATTTGTGTGTAATGGGTGTTTGTGCCAAGTTTGGTCCAGTGAATGAAAATACTTCCTGCGTATCAGATATTTACATTACAATTCATAACAGTAGCAAAACTACAGTTATGAAGTAGCAATGGAAATAGCGTTATGGTTGGGGGTCACCACAACATGAGGAACTGTATTAAGGGGTTGCAGCATTAGGAAGGTTGAGAACCACTGCTATTGGGGAAATTGGGTGCAAGTCACACTTTCTCAGCCTAAGCCCCGTGAACCCAATCTTTCAAAAAACATAATAGGTTGGCTTTCCATGAGTCAGAAATGACGTGAGAGCACACAACGAAACAAATCTCCCAAAGCAGCATTTCAGAGTTCTGGAGGTGAACAGGAAGTATATTAATCATGGGTTATAACTGTTAGTTGAGGGAGGAAAGTTATAACCCATATCTAGGTTTTAAGATATGCATGCTGTGCTTTTGTAGTGTAGTTTAGGTTATTTTTATTTTGAGATTGTTTTATATATAATTTTGAGAATATATATAGAGAGCATGGATTGTGTGCTTAAGGCAGCAACCCTTGCTATTCTATTGCAAATCACCCAGACATGGGATGTAGTGGAATACAACAGTTCTGCAAGTCGCTTCTGGTGTGAGAGAATTGGCCGTCTGCAAAAACGTTGCCAAGGGAACGTCGGGATGTTTTGATGTTTTTACATCCTTGTGGGAGGCTTCTCTCATGTCCCTGAATGAGAAGCGAGCTGATAGAGCAGTGGTTCTCAACCTTCCTAATGCTGTGACCCCTTAATACAGTTCCTCATGTTGTGGTGACCCCCCCAACCATAACTTTGTTTTTGTTGCTCCTTCATAACAGTCATTATACTACTGTTATAAATCATAATGTAAATATCAGATATGGAAGATGCATTTTCATTCACTGGACCAAACTGGACACAAATACCCAATGCAACCACATGTAAATGCTAGTGGGGTTGGGGGAGGATTGATTTTGTAATTTGGGAGTTGTAGTTGCTGGGATTTATAGTTCACCTATAATCAAAGAGCATTCTGAACTCCACCAGCGATGGATTTGAACCTTATTTGCCACACAGAACTCCCATGACCAAGGGAAAACACTGGAAGGGTTTGGTGGGTTTGGGAGTTGTAGTTCACCTATATCCAGAGAGCACTGTGGACTCACACAATGGTGGATCTGGACCAAACTTGGCACAAATACTGAATATGTGCAAATGTGAACACAGGTGGAGCCTGGGGAAAATAGACCTTGACTTTTGGGAGTTGTAGTTGCTGGGATTTATAGTTCATTACAATCAAAGAACATTCTGAACTCCACCAACGATAGAATTATTATTATTATTATTATTAAACTTTATTTGTACCCCGCTAGCATCTCCCGAAGGATTCGATGCGGCTTACACAGGCCGAGGCCTCAACACACAACACAACAATACAATCTAAGCAAATCAAACAATTAAAAACAGAATAAAGCAAAATAAACAACAGGCACAATACACTAAACACAATAAAACTGGGCCGGGCCAGAGCAATGGGTACAAGATTAAAAGTGCTGATGTGACAGGAGGTGTATATAGGGCTTCCAGGGCAAGTGCGATGTGCGATGTGCAGCAATCATTGGTTCTGATAAAGTGCTTATGGGACTTGGTAGTGGAGATTTCCTAATCTGGGAAGGCGCATCGGAAAAGCCAGGTCTTCAAGTTCTTTCTGAAGACAGCCAATGTAGGGGCCTGTCTAAGGTCTTTGGGGAGGGTGTTCCAGAGTCGGGGGGCCACCACGGAAAAGGCCCTGTCCCACGTCCCCACCAAGCGTGCTTGCGACGCCGGTGGGATCACGAGCAGGGCCTCTCCAGATGACTGAAGAGAACGCGTGGGTTCGTAGATGGAAATGCGGTCACGCAGGTAGGCTGGTCCCAAACCGTTCAGGGCTTTGTAGGTAAGCACCTGCACCTTGAATTGGGCTCAGAAAATAAATGGCAGCCAGTGGAGCTCCTTGAACAGGAGGGTTGACCTCTCTCTGTAAGGGGCCCCAGTTAGCATCCTGGCTGCTGATCGTTGGACCAGTTGGAGCTTCCGAGCCGTCTTCAAGGGCAGCCCCACGTAGAGCGCATTGCAGTAATCCAATCTGGAGGTGACCAAGGCATGGACCACTCCGGCCAGATCCGCCTTCGCGAGGTACGGTCGCAGTTGGCGCACAAGTCTCAGTTGTGCGAAAGCCCTCCCAGACACCGCCGACGCCTGAGCCTCAAGCGTAAGCGTTGAATCCAAGAGGACTCCCAAACTGCGGACCTGTGACTCAAACTTCCCACATTGAATCCCCATGACAATCAGAAAATATTGTGTTTTCTGATGGTCTTTGGTGACCCCTCTGACACCCCTTCGCGACCCCCTCAGGGGTCCCAACCCCCAGGTTGAGAAACACTGTGATAGAGGGAGCTTATCCGCGTTCTCCCCAGATTCGAACCTGTGACCTGTTGGTCTTCAGTCCTGCCGTCACAGGGTTTTATTTTATAGTTGGGGGTCACGACAGCATGAGATACTGTATTATGGGGTCGCTGCATTAGAAAGGTTGGGAATCACTGCATTAAACATTCTTTTAAAGCCTTCTAAGTCACTGATCTCAGTGGTGACGCGTTTGATGGGCTGCCAGTATAGCACAACAACCAGAAAAAATATTTGCCAACAAGTTAAAACTGGAATTTGTTTTTATTGTGTAGCTATATACAACCAAAAAGGGGGGGAAATCAACATGCAACTTTCAAATTCAACTACAGGCACCGAAGCGGAGAATATTCTCCCTCAAACCTCCCTTTTTAGATCACTAACTGAACTAAAATGAGTGTTTTGCTTTGTTTGCTACAGTCTACCACAGGCATGGGCAAACTTTGGCCCTCTGGGTGTTTTGGACTTCAGCTCCCACAATGCCTAGTCACTAAAGTTCTTTCCTATCATCTTCTATTCTACTCAGTGCAAAGAAATGCTCGAACTCATTCCCACACTCAACGCCCCTCCATCTGTGGAAGAGTTCTCTTAAAAAAGGGGAAAACAGAAAGAAAAGAAAGGAAAAGAGCATTTCTTTTAAAATAATCAAGTGCCTTGGCAATTATGTACAAAAAACACACACAACATATAAAAATGTACGAAAGTTCTGTTTTGCACCCGTGTAGAAAAGTGTCTCTGTGCCTGTTTTCCACTCTGAATTGCCAAGAATTCCCCTTCCCCAATGGCTCTTCTCCGGCTGGCCTTTGCCCTTCTCCTCCGCTCTTGCTTCATGGGCATTTCCTTTGGGTTTCCCCTTCCCCGTCCTGCATCTTTCCCAAAATCTTCCTGGTAATCTCTGTATAGACAGTTTCTTTTCCATCCTTGGAATTCGTGACTCCTGGCTCTGTTACTGAGGATCTGAAATGAAAGAGAAATCGAAATGTAATGTGAAGGAACCGATTGAAGACAATTCCCACTTCATCATATTAGGCAGGGAAGTGTGTGACAGAGGAGAGCAGAGAAGAACTCAGTCTTACTCAAGTTTTTAATGAAACAGATGTTTTCTCAACGTTCTATCACACTGTTAAATCTCTCAGTTTCCTTTCAGTATTCTTTCACGCTGCAGAGATTTGGCCCCGTCCACCATCCCTCTCCCTGCACATAGTTGAAAACCGGGAAGGAGGGAGGGAAAGCAGCAATGCTCTCTCTTTCTCTGTTTTCCCCCTCTCTTTGTGTCTCTCCCTTTCTCTCTCTTGGCTGCCCCACAGAGAAGAGTGTGGACCTTGGAAAACTATAACTCCCAAGTCTTCATAGTTTGGAGCTATGGCATTTAAAGTGGTGTCCAACAGCATTCATTCCACAGTGCAAATGCATCAAGAGAAAGGTATGGATCTTGGGAAACTATAACTCCCAGGAGGACTCCATCGCATGGAGCCATGTCATTTAAAGTGGAGGTGCAAGGACATTCATTCCATACTGTAAATGCACCAAGAGAGGGGTATGGACCTTGGGAAACTCTAATTCCCAACTGCACAACATGGAGATATGGCATAATAATAATAATAATAATAATAATAATAATAATAATAATAATAATAATATCATTTAAAATGGGTCCCAACTGCATTTATTCTCCAGTGCAGATTCAACCAGAGATGGGTATGGACCTTGGGAAACTATAATTTCCAGGACTGCACAGCATGGAGATATGGCATAACAACAACAACAACAATGGCATTTGTGGACGAGGGAGAGGGTCTTCTCGGTGGTGGCCCCCCGACTCTGGAACTCACTTCCCAAGGACATCAGACATGCCCCAACGCTGGCAGTCTTTAGGAGGAGCCTGAAAACGTGGTTGTTCCAGCGTGCCTTCCCAGAATAAGGAAAACTCTTAGCAATATGTCCTCAAATGCACTTTAATATTGATTTAGGATTATCTGCGCGCCCTCATCTTTCCTGAAAACCCTATCCTAGTTATACCCTACCTTGTTCATGCCCAGCATTATTTTTAATTTTTAATTATTACAATTGGGCCGGCCATAGGTTTTTAAATGCTTGTATGATATTGTTTAGTGTTTATTTTTTGTTTATGAGGTTTATTTTAACTGTTTTGTATTGATGATTTTGTTATTCCCTTCGTTTATTGATGTACTGCGGGCTTGGCCTCATGTAAGCTGCACCGAGTCCCTTGGGGAGATGGTAACGGGGTACAAATAAAGATTATTATTGTATTATCGAAGGCTTTCATGGCTGGAATCACTCAGTTCTTGTGGGTTTTTCGGGCTATATGGCCATGTTCTAGAGGCATTTCTCCTGACGTTTCGCCTGCATCTATGGCAAGCATCCTCAGAGGACCTCACCTCTGAGGATGCTTGCCATAGATGCAGGCGAAACGTCAGGAGAAATGCCTCTAGAACATGGCCATATAGCCCGAAAAAACCCACAAGAACTTAAAGATTATTATTGTTGTTGTTGTTATTGTGGTGGCCATAAGGAGAAAAATAAAATAATTATAATTTAAAATGAAAATAATGAGTAGTAAGGCTTACCTGTCCGTTCTTGAGGGTGGGAAGTAGAGATTTTGGTAGAAGAGAAATTTAACAGATGGCTTAGAAAACTTTTAGGCTGGCTGTATCTTAAGTCAATATTTGAAGGAGCCAAGGCTAAAGGCTGAAGGCTGAGGTAGGAAACTTGGCTCATGAGTTAAATCGATATTATTGATTCGAAAACTAACATCTAAAGGTCATGTAGTAGTAGCGCCACCTCCTGTCTGGTTGATGAAAATAGCAGGTAATTTCATACCCCTTTTTAAATGATCAACTGAGGAAAATAATGTATTGTGAAAGTAATTACAGGAGAATTAATAAGGGAAATGCATGCTTCGAATAAATTAAAGATACATATATGAAGACATATGTATAAAGAGAAATATATGAAGTTATGATTCATTCTAAAGATTACGTAAGTCATCTGGGAAAGTGGCTGGTCAGCTGATGAAAGGGGAGCAGTGGAAATTATAGTATCTTGCCAACAATTGTTCTTGGCCTCGGTTCCTCGAGGACAAATTGATATTGATTAGATTGTGTAAATGTCAAGACCCATGTGCGCATGTGTAAACCTGAGAATTTATGCTATAAATGTTGGAGCAAATCGGACTTCCAATGTGTGTCAGATATTGTTTTCTGAACACCCTGTCAAGCTTGATGGAATTAAAGGCCTGGAATCAGTTGCTGTCTCCTTTCTCTTCCTTCCTGATTGTGCTCATCTGATCTCGGGTAACGAATCTTCCGCAACATTATTATTATTATTTAAAATGGGTCCCAACTGCATTTATTCACCAGTGCAGATGCAACCAGAGAAGGGTATGGACCTCGGGAAACTATAATTCCCAGGAGCACATAGTATGGAGCTATGGTATTTGAAGTGGGGTCCAAGAGCATTCATGGTATAGTGCAAATACACCCAAAGAAGGATATGGATCTTGGGAAACTAACTCCCAGGAAATCTCGACAAAATAGTAAAGAGTAGAGACATCAGACTGGCAACAAAGATCCGCCTAGTCAAAGCCATGGTATTCCCTGTAGTAACCTACGGATGTGAGAGCTGGACCTTAGGGAAGGCTGAGCGAAGGAAGATAGATGCTTTTGAGCTGTGGTGCTGGAGGAAAGTTCTGAGAGTGCCTTGGACTGCGAGAAGATCCAAACAGTCCATCCTCCAGGAAATAAAGCCCGACTGCTCATTGGAGGGAAGGATACTAGAGACAAAGTTGAAGTACTTTGGCCACATCATGAGGAGACAGCAAAGCCTAGAGAAGACAATTATGCTGGGGAAAGTGGAAGGCAAAAGGAAGAGGGGCCAACCAAGGGCAAGATGGATGGATGGCATCCTTGAAGTGACTGGACTGACCTTGAGGGAGCTGGGGGTGGTAACGGCCGACAGGGAGCTCTGGCGTGGGCTGGTCCATGAGGTCACGAAGAGTCGGAGACGACTGAACGAATGAACAACAACAACTCCCAGGACTACACAGCATGGAGAAATGGCATAATAATAATCATTGTCGTCATCATTATCATCATCCTTCTCGCCTGGTTTTCCCTTGCAGTACAAGGCAAAGACATATCACGGAAGGGAAGGACCCGGAAAAGCTATTTTTTAAAAAAGTTTTTGCTTTGGCAAAGTAAAAACTCAGTGAGCAAAAGGTAATGTTTTCCCTAAGAAGGGTGCTTTTGGCTCCTCCTACAATGTCCCCTCCCACAAATTGGGGAAATGTCTCATTGTAAACCTGGGGAGCGACTAATGCCATCACATTAGAGAATTGGCCAAACGTCCAGAAGATTTAAAAAAAAATCCACTTCCCCACTCAAGTCGAGCATGTCCCCCCCCCCGTCCCCCCCAATAAGGGATGGTAACTTATAGTTCTGCAAAGGGCAAGGGTACCAGACTGCACAAAGGGGTTACGTTTTGGTCAATTTGCCAAGACAGTAGCAACAACAAGGACCCCATGAGGCTTTCAGGGAAGAGCCTGGCCTTGGGTTCCCAGTCCTTGGAGGAAGTTATAGTTCCCCAAGGACTAAGGACCAGCTTGATCTTGGCGCTGCAAGAATCCATTCCTTGGCTCAGTGGAGATCATCAAGCACCCTTTTGTGACTGTTGGACTTTCTTCAATTTCTTTTTGGCTCTAAATAACTCATTTTCACATCTGATCTTCCCCATTATGAACTATGGACACATGTTTTATTAAAATTATTATTTTAATCAATTTCTCTGGCGGGCAGGGGGTGGGAAGGGATGCTTGATATGAATTTCTTTGGATTCCTATATTTCCCCATGTATTTTTCCTTATTTTTTGCCCTGGCACCCAACCCCTTCCCCCTTCCCCTTTTCGAGAAAAGGGAACCAACGAAGAAGTTGCCCTTTGGCGCTGAAAAGGGCAATCAGCGATCACAAAACCCCATATCTTGGAACTCTTGCATGGACAATAGAACTTGAAATTCCTATTTGATTTCGGAGTTGGGGCCGTCAAACTGGAATTTCCTTTGGCAAACTTTTTGATCATTTCACAATGGGAGGGAAACGACTCTTGGGAGGTCGCCTTCCCCACTTTGTTTACTTCATTCAAAACTCTTCATAGCAAACATCCACCCCAAGCCTCACCTTTGTGCCTTATCTGATCATAGCAGAAAAACCTGGCTTAAGTAATCAACACCAATCACCCACCCGTCACATAACAATAAATGTTGGTTTCTCTAGCTGGCCGATTCCTGGACGCAGGAAACTCAGTACATTGGAATTCCATAATCCTATCAACGCTTGTATCTTTTCTGTCCCATCTCCCTCTTCCTGATTCTCTGAAGCGCTAGAGCGGTGGGAGCTTCCTGATAGGCTCCTGCGCAGCGGAGGAGCCCTGTGATTGGTCCTGGCGAGGGGGACGGACGGCCGAGCCTCCTCCCAGCTGTTATCCAGCCAGCCAATCACCAGCGAGCTGGGCGGGGGGCGGGAAGCGGGAATTTTGAAACTTCTAAGCCTGTAAACCCTATAAAAATGTCTCTGATCTTTGTACTGGCATGCTCTGTAGGCGAATGATTGCTACATTGCATCCTTTTCAGCTAATAAAAACACCTCAGTGCCGCTTTTTCAACTTTGGTGAGGTTTATTTCGAATTTTTAATTTAATAAAATTGATAAAATCAGGCTTCTCTAGCTCGCCAAAGTAGCGATCCCTCTTTGGTGGGGTCCCAGGGTCCCTCCTCCTGGGGAAGACCCTCCTAAAGTTCCCATTGGCTTCACCACCACCTCATGAAACGTTTTAAAAGAGTGCTGGCCGTCACGATTAAAATACGCAAATAATGCTCTATCCTGCACTTGAAGCCAAAGTAATGTGATGAAAAGAGTGGCTTCCCAGACTTTAAGTGTAGCACTTAATGGTATTGCCCCTCCTTTTTTGATTACAAAAAATTACATACTGTCTACTGTTCCATCTTGAGGTTCTTCCTCTTCTGTTTCTTCTCCTTCCTCATTCACCTCTTCACTTTCTTCATCTAAAGCAGAAAAAGAACAAGGCAGGAATTTTAGAAACTTTCTGGCCCTCAGGGTTTAGTTAGGAAGGAATTTGCCATATTCCCAGTTGGACTATTTATGCATGTTATCTAGGGGCCGGGCTTTAGCACAGCAGGTTAACCACCAGCTGCAGAAAATCCTGCCAGTCGCAAGGTTGACAGTTCAGTCTCCAGTCAAAAGACCCTTCAGAGTTTAGGAATGACTGGGAACCCTTCAAAAGGTTTCTAGAAGGAAAGACTATCTCAACATGGAGATTTCACGTTTGACCATTATTATAATTATTATCTATATATATTAAAATGCTCTGTGAGTGATGAGTACCTTAAAAACAAAGAAAAACCAATGAACGAAATCACACCAAATTTGGCAACAAAACGTCTCACAACACAAGGAGTGACCATCACTCAAAAATATGATTTTGTCATTTGGGAGTTGTAGTTGCTGGGATTTATAGTTCACCTATAATTAAAGAGCATTCTGAACTCCACCAACAATGGAATTGAACCAAACTTGGCACACAGGACTCCCATGACCAACAGAAAACACTAGAAGGGTTTGGTGGGCATTGACCTTGAGTTTGGAGTTGTAGTTCACCTACATCCAGAGAGCACTGTGGACTCAAACAATGATGGATCTGGACCAAACTTGGCACAAATACTCAATATGCCCAAATGTGAACACAGATGGAGTTTGGGGGAAATAGACCTTGACATTTGGGAGTTGTAGTTACTGGGATTTATAGTTCACCTACAATCAGGGAGCATTCTGAACCCCAGTAACGATAGAATTGGGGCAAACTTCCCACCCAGAACCTCCATGGCCAACAGAAAATACTGTGTTTTCTGGTGGTCTTTGGTGACCCTTCTGACACCCCCCTGGTGACCCCCCCCCCCGGGTCTTGACTTCCCAGGTTGAGAAATGCTGCCTTAAGGCCATCCAGTCCAACTCCCTTCACCAGGGCAAGAAAACATAATCAAAGCCCTCCTGACAAAGGGCCATCCAGCCATTCACACACACACATATATGTATGTATATGACAGACGCAGTATCATAGATTTGAAAGGGACACCTAAAGAAGGACAATGATATGTTGCATATTCCAGAGTATGCAAACCAGACAATCTCCAAATCAACACGAGCAAAGAAAACAGCAAGAAATACTGTTTACCCACAAGCATAAAAACATTACATATATTAGAAACCAACACTTTCTCATTACTTTATTTTCCAGATTACCAGACTGGGCCACAGCAACACGTGGCAGGGGACCGCTAGTAAAATCTAAATTTTCATCACATTGTTTAACTACCTTCTGAAGAAAGACCTGATGAAGAATCCCTTGGAGCTATTTGATGTGACAATGTGTTGTCGAAGGCTTTCATGGCTGGAATCACTGGGTTGCCGTGAGTTTTCCAGGTTTTGTGGCCATGTTCCAGAAGCATAGGTGTGGGTGAAACGTCAGGAAAGAATGCTTCTGGAACCTGGCCATACAGCCTGGAAAACTCACAGCAACCCACTGAACTCCTTGTGTTTCTCACACCGAAAAGGCACCATGTTGTCATACCTGGTTCAAAGTCAAGGCTTCTCAAGATTTCTATGGCACTCTCTGTGTCTAAAGTGAAATAGTCCATGTTTTCAAAGCCTGACTCGATCTTCTCCAATTGAGCCCCCTTTGATGCATCCACAATTCTAGGGGAGGAAACAAAACAGAACAAGGGTTTTTCATCTTGTGATAATTGCACGCAGCAAATTGCGGTCTTCTTTGTGGCTTTCATTTCAGTGCTTCAGTAGATTGCATTATATTATTTGAAAGATAATTCTAAACCATCTCTGTAATGAATGATGATACATCAATATTTTCAACAGGGAGAGAAAGCAGCCTTTTCTGATATTTGGGGCAAGAAAATGGAACATGAAAAACAGGGCGGAATTGTGTAGATTCCTTCTCTGGAATTAGGGGTGTATTGATAGGGGGGCAAAAGGACCATAAAAGTAAAGGTTTCCCTTGACATGAAGTCTAGTCATGTCTGACTTTGGGGGGTGGTGCTCCTCTCCATTTTTAAGCCAAAGAGCTGGCTTTGTCCATAGACACCTCCTAGGTCACGTCGCCAGCATGACTGCATGGAGCGCCGTTACCTTTTCGCTGAAGTGGTATCTATTGATCTTCTCAAATTTGCAGGTTTTTGAACTGCTAGGTTGGCAGAAACTGGGGCTAACAGTGGGAGCTCATCCCGCTCTCCAGATTTGAACTGTCGACTTTTCGGTCAGCAAGTTCAGCAGCTCAGCGGTTTAACCCACTGCGCCACCTATTGATCTACTCACACTTTTAGACTGCTAGGTTGGCAGAAGCTGGCGCTAACAGCGGGAGCTCACCCCACTCTCCGGATTCGAACCACCGACTTTTCAGTCAGCAAGTTCAGCAGCTCAGCGATTTAACCCACTGCACCACCTATTAATGTACTCACACTTTTCGAACTGCTAGGTTGGCAGAAACTGGGGCAAACTGGGAGCTCACCCCGCTCTCTGGATTCAAAGCGCTGACCTTTTGGTCAGCAAGTTCAGCAGCTCAGTGGTTCAACCCACCGTGCCATGTGTTGATCTACTCACACTTGCATGTTTTCAAACTGTTAGGGGGCTAAAAGTAGAAATTCACCCCGCTCTCCAGATTCGAACCGCCAACCTTTCGTCAACAAGTTCTGCAGCTCTGCGGTTTAACCTGCTGCACCACTGGGGGCTCATAAAAAAGGACCATATTGCCCCACAAATAAGATTTCTGGCCTCCCAAAAACAAAGTGTCCTATCAGACCCAACATTTCTATCGTTGCAGAAATTGAGACATTTTTCCGATCCAGAATTCTGGAAGTTGCAATGTTTGTGTATTCCCTTGGAATACACAAACTTTATCCATGCGTCAAATCTACAATTGGCACCCCATATTCACGGGTTTCTCTTTCATGAATTTGATTATTTGCAAATTAACAATTTGACCAGCTTAACTCACTTCATTTGCTACATTTAGAGGGCTTCCTGCGTCAGTCAAAACAACTAATATTTTGCACACAGAAATTGCCATAAAGAGACAAGAAAAAATATATATGCAGGACTTACGTTTTAATGAGCTGCTTTGCACTCTGCGATGGGATAAAGAAGAAAAAGACAAAATATTATATTATTAGTTGATAAACAGTCAGTTTGAGAACAGTCTGTTCAGCAGAAGACTCTCACGTTTGCTTATTCAATTATCCCATCGCGACCATTATCATAGTAGAGCGTGTAATTTGTACTTGATAAATTACCCATTTAATTTATTTATTTTGTGGTATGGACATCAAACATCCTGGTATCCCCTGGGCAACATCGTTGCAGACGGCCAATTCTCTCACACCAGAGACGACTTGCAGTTTCTCAAGCCACTCCTGACATGAAATTGTTTTTGTCATAAACATGGGGAAAATTGATTACATGGCACAATCTTTGTGTGTCACAAACTTCATTTAACGTGTGGAGGACAAAGTTTCTCTTGCCAGGACAAAGTTTTGCCTTCTAGTCAACTGTCACCAAGTTTTTAGGATACAACCAGTCAGGAACAGACATGTATTACCAAGGAACAAACCAACATAAAAACTCAGTGTTTTCTCAGTGTGGAGACATAAATACATTAAAAATGCGCATTTTTGGGCTAGAACCAGCATATTCCCATTCTTCCCGCATTTTCAGGGAACGGTGTTTGGCCACCCACCATTTTGAACCGGAAGATCCTGGTATAAAGGGACTATCTGGAGGGGCCCATAGTGTTATAGTTGTAGCATTTAGTGCAGTGTTTCTTAGCTTGCCTAATGCCACAACCCCTTAATACAGTTCCTCATGTTGTGGTGAACCCCAACCATAACATTATTTTCGTTGCTACTTCATAACTGGAATTTTGCTACTGTTATGAATTGTAATGTAAATATCTGATCTGCAGGATGTATTTTCATTAACTGGACCACATTTGGCACAAATACCCGATATGCCCATATTTGAATAATGGTGCTGTTGGGGAGGATTGGTTTTTGTCATTTGGGAGTTGTAGTTGATGGGATTTATCGTTCACTTACAATCAAAGAGCATATCTGAACTCCACTAATGATGGAATTGAACCAAACTTGGCACACAGAACTCACATGACCAACAAAAAAATACCGGAATGGTTTGATGGGCAAACCCTTTGATGGGCACCGGGATTGTGGTGCAGCTGGCTGAGTGTCAGCTGCATTAAGATCACTCTGACCAAAAGGTCATGAGTTTGAAGCCAGCCCGGGTTGGAGTGGGTTTCCAACCAATTGTGTAGCCTGTTGTCGACCTTTGCAACCCGAAAGACAGTTGCATCTGTCAAGTAGGAAAATTAGGTACCACTTTAAAGTGTGGGGAGGCTAAATTAACTGATTTATGAGGCCATAAAGAAGACTCCAGCAAAGCATTCCAGCGGGGAAGCATGCGGGGAATGCGGAAGTGCTTCATCAGCGTCGCAGATGGACGATGAAAGCGACAGCTCCCTTGGCGGCCAGAAAAAGTTAAATAGCCTCTGTGTATGTCTGTATATGTTTGTATGTCAAAATTGGCATTGAATGTTTGCCATATATGTGTACACTGTAATCCGCCCTGAGTCCCCTGCGGGATGAGAAGGGCGGAATATAAAAGCTGTAAATAAATAATAATAAATAAATTGACCTTGAGTTTTGCAATTGTAGTTCACCTACATCCAGAGAGCACTGTGGACTCAAACAATAATGGATCTGCGCCAAACTTGGCATGAATACTCAATATGCCCAAATGTGAACACTAGTGGAGTTTGTGGAAAATAGACCTTGCAATTGTCTGTTTTCGGAAGATAGACCTTGCAATTAGGGAGTTGCTGGGATTTATAGTTTACATACAATTCTGAACCCCACTAATGATATTATTGGGCCAGATTTCCCACACAGAACCCCCATGAACAAAAGAAAACACTGTTTTCTGATTATCTTTGGTGACCTCTCTGACACCCCCTCATGACCCCTTCAGGGGTCCCGACACCCAGGTTGAGAAACACTGATTTAGTGTTTCAATGTATTCTACTCTATCCTTTTGTCTTGTTAGTCATGCAAACATGTATATTTATTACTCTCTCTGTTTCTGTAGTTTTTTTGCTTGATGTTGTCTAAAATTTATATGCTCAATAATAATAATATTGATAATAAACAAAAAAAAATGCAAATTCAAAAAAAGGGTTTGGCTCACCAGGAGGAAATCAGCCCCTCCTTCCTCCTCCATGGACTGAATGGCGGACTCCACCAGTTTGGAAGACTTCTCCAGCTGATCCTTGTATTGGTGGATGAGGTTCTTCATGAAGCCAACCTTCTCTTCTTGCTCCTTGGTGACACGCTCCAACAGCTCGTTCCTCTTCTCCTGCAAGATGGCAATGAGAGCTTCGAACTTCTCATGCAAAGACTGCTTGACCTGACTGCCGTTCTCCTGCCAAGTAACAAAAAAAAGGATATAAAAAGGAATAAATTAATGAGTGAACCACCAGTTCCGAGTGGAGAATGTGAGAGGATATGGGAAGTAGAATCATAGAACCATAGAATCCAAGAGTTGGAAGAGACCTCTTGGGCCATCCAGTCCAACTTCATTCGGCCAAATCCATCTAAAATAACGTTGGCGGCTCTAGATTATTAAATATGGTTTTCTGTGGTTGAGCAGATGGCGACTATTGGATATGTTTTGTATCAGAAACTATTTATTTATTTATTTACTTTATTTATATACCGCTTTTCTCAGCCCTCAGGCGACTCAAAGCGGTGAACAACATCGATACAAAACATCACGAGACAAGTATAGGGCAATTAAAAACAATTGTAACATAAATCATTAAACATCAGTATAACAATCATTAGCGCCTCAACAGTAAAATCAGAATCCAGTCTCATCATCCATTATTCCGTATTCCTATATTCAATTACACTGTTTAATCAAATGCTTGTTCGAACAGCCAGGTCTTCACTTTCCTCCGAAATGCCAGCAGGGAGGGGGCTGATCTGATATCTGCAGGCAGGGCGTTCCACAGCCGAGGGGCCACCACTGAGAAGGCCCTGTCTCTCGTCCCCGCCAAGCACGCCTGTGATGCAGGCGGGACAGAGAGCAGGGCCTCCCCAGATGATCTTAGTGTCCTAGCCGGTTCATAGGAGGAGATGCGTTCGGAGAGGTAAGTAGGGCCAGAACTGTTTAGGGCAGGGGTCCTCAAACTAAGGCCCGGGGGCCGAATGCGGCCCTCCAAGGTCATTGACCCGGCCCTCGCTTAGGGTCAATCTAAGACTGTAATGACTTGAAAACACACAATGACAACAACCCTATCTCATCAGCCAAAAGCAGGCCCACACTTCCCATTGAAATACTAATAAATTTATATTTGTTAAAATTGTTCTTCATTTTAATTATTGTATTGTTTTTAAGTGTTTTTTTCACTACAAATAAGATATGTGCAGTGTGCATAGGAATTCATTCATGTTTTTTTCAAATTATAATCCGGCCCTCCAACAGTTTGAGGGACTGTGACCTGGCCCTCTGTTTAAAAAGTTTGAGGACCCCTGTTATATAGAAACTGTTTCAAATAGAGCTGATGTGGTCTATCCAATGCAATTTTCTGAACGAGCATCCCAAATAACCAGATCAAATCTAAAGTTGACCAAAAACAGATTCATAAACCTTTTGGAACTAATGTTACAGAGTGGTCCCTGGTCAAAGTGGTCCTTGGTCAAAGTGGTCCCTGGTCCAAGTGGTCCCTGGTCCAAGTGTCCCCTGGTCAAAAAAAGGTTGGGAACCACTGATCTAAATTTTACATGGAATGAAAGCTCACACTTCCTGCAAATTCCTGTTGCCATTTTGAGGGACTGCAAAATAACCCCCCAAAAGAACATATTTTGAGTTACAGGAGGATCAAAGGAGAGAAATCCACCCCTAAGTTGCCCTTATCTGAGGTTTATATCCATGAAACATCTCCTCTCGGGTTGCCTTGATTTGGAGAAGGGCCTGGGTCTGAATTGCACGGATGGAGGCGCATTTCTCTTTGACTCTCCTCTCCAGCAAAGCCTGCACTATCAGCCATTGCTCAGGCTTAGGTTTCCCTTCCAGCACTTGAGTTTCGAAGGGCTCAGCCATTCGTGGCATTCCTCACCTCCGTGGTTTTGCAGGACTCCTCCAGCTGGTTGATGATGGTCTGGATTCTGTCGTTCCCTGCCACCAGCATTGAGATACAGTTGCTCAGCTCTGTCTGTGAAGGAAGAGGATAAAAATAGGTCTCAAATCTCTGCTCTCCATTTCTGAGCCAGAGGAAAGCAGCACAAAGAATGGCAAGAAAGGAAGAGGGCCCTGGTAGCTGAAAGTCCAACTGGGAAAACAGTGTAAGGCAGTGGTTCTTAATCTTTCTAATACCCCCAACCATAAAATTATTTTCGTTTCTACTTCACATCTATAATTTTGCTTCTGTTATGAATCATAATGTAAATATCTGATATGCAAGATGTATTTTCATTAACTGGTACAAATACCCAATTTTGAATACTGGTGGGGTTGTGGGGGGATTGATTTTGTCAATTGGGAGTTGTAGTTGCTGGGATTTATAGTTAACCTACAATCAAAAATCATTCTGAACTCCACCAATGATGGAATTGAACCAATCCTAGCACACAGAACTCCCATGACCAAAATATTTCAAGGGTTTGGTGGGCATCGACCTTGAGTTTTGGATTTGTAGTTCACCCACATCCAGAGAGCACTGTGGACTCAAACAATGATGGATCTGGACCAAACTTGGTATGAATCCTCAATATGCCCAAATGTAGTGGAGTTTGGAGAAAATAGACATTGACACTTGGGAGTTGTATTACTGGGATTTTTAGTTCACCTACAATCAAAGAGCATTCTGAACCCCACCAAGGATAGAATTGGGCCAAACTAAGTTGACCATGGAGTCACATTGAAGGACCTAGAGATCCCTAGAAATAACTTCTTTTTCATCAGATATACAGGAATAATCAAACCCTCAGAAGTCAAAGCCACAGATGTAGAGACATAACCACATTCTACATGTCTGTGGTGCCAAATTCAGTCCATTTCTTTCTGTTTTTCTCTGAAATGTTCTGCGTGTTTAATACATAAATTTACTGTTATTTATTTAAAGCATTTACATTCCGCCCTTCTCATCCCAAAGGGGACTCAGGGCAGAGCACGGCAAACATTCAATGCCGGAACATAAAATAAACTATAAATATATATAAACACTAAAAGCAGACATCTCCACTTTGAAATCAATTGTTTAAAACCATCTCAGATCAGCCACACCAGATCCGATCAGCAGGATAACGTTTTCTATTGTTGCCTTATTGCACAGTCCCAAAGGCTTGGTCCCACAGCCAAGTTTTTACCATCCTTCTGAAGGACAGGAGGGAGGAGGCTGATTTAATCCCACTAGGGAGAGAGTTCCATAGCTGGGGGGCAATCACCGAGAAGGCCCTCTCTCTCATCCCCACCAATTGCACCTGTGATGGTGGCAGGACCGAGAGCAGCCCCCCCCCCCCAAAGATCTTAATCTATGTGGTGGTTCATAGAGGGAGATGTGTTTGGACAGGTAAACTGAGCTGGGACTGTTTAGGGCTTTATAGGCCAAAGCCATCACTTTGAATTGTTCTTGGTAGCAAACTGGCAGCCAGTGGAGCTGACGCAACATGGGAGTTGTGTGCTCCCTGTATGCCTCTCCAGTTATTAACCTGGCTGCCTCTCGCTGGACTATTTCAAGCTTCTGAACAGTCTTCAAAGGCAACCCCACGTAGAGCGCATTGCAGTAGTCTATCCTAGATGTAAAGAGAGTGTGGACCACCATGGCCAGGTCTGACTTCCCAAGGTACAAGCACAACTGGCGCACATGTATTAAATGTGCGAAAGCTCCCCTAGCTACCACCAGAACCTGAGGTTCTAGGCTCAGCGATGAGTCCAGGTGAACTCCCAAGCTGTGAGCCTGTGCCTTCAAGGGGAGTGTAACCCCATTCAGCACAGGTTGTAAACCTATACCCTGTTTGGCCTTGCAACTGACCAGGAGACCCTCTGAATTCAACCTGAGTTTGTTCGCCCTCATCCAGTGGCCAGGCACCTGTTCACGACCTGGACAGACTTCTTAGCATCTCGTGAAAAGGAATAGTAGAGTTGGACGTCATCTGCGTACAGATGGCATCAAACTCTGGATGATCTCACGCAACGGCTACATTTAGATGTTAAACAACATGGGGGAACAGTATCGAACCCTGGAGGACCCTACAGGACAATGGATGTGGGGTTGAGCAGAAGTCCCCCAACAACATCTTCTTGATATGATCCTCCAGGAAGGGTTGGAGCCACTGCAGAACAATACCTCCAAGACCCATCCTCGCGAGGTGACCCAGAAGGATCCCATGGTCTACAGCAGTGGTTCTCAACCTACCTAATGTCGCAACCCCTTAATACAGTTTCTTATCTTGTGGTGACCCCCAACCATAACATTATATTTGTTGCTACTTCATAACTGTAATTTTGCAACTGTTATGAATCGTAATGTCAATATCTGATATGCAGGATGTATTTTCATTCACTGGACCAAATTTGGCACAAATACTCAAAACACCCAAATTTGAATACTGGTGGGGTTGGGGAGAGTGATGTTGTCATTTGGGAGTTGTAGTTGCTGGGATTTATAGTTCGCTTACAATCAAAGAGCTTTCTGAACTCCACCAATGATGGAATTGAATCAGACCTGGCCACACAGAAATCCCATGACCAACAGAAAATGCTAGAGATCAGTGTTTCTCAACCTGGGGGTCGGGACCCCTGAGGGGGTCGCGAGGGGGTGTCAGAGGGGTCGCCAAAGACCATAAGAAAACACAGTATTTTCTGATGGTCATGGGGATTCCATGTGGGAAGTTTGAGCCAATTCTATGGTTGGTGGAGTTCAGAATGTTCTTTGATTGTAATGAACTATAAATCCCAGCAACTACAACTCCCAAATGTCAAGATCTATTTTCCCCAGACTCCACCAGTGTTCACATTTGGGCATATTGAGTATTCATGCCAAGTTTGGTCCAGATCCACATTGCATGAGTCCACAGTGCTCTCTGGATATAGGTGAACTACAACTCCCAAACTCAAGGTCAATGCCCATCAAACCCTTCCAGTGTTTTCCATTGGTCATGGGAGCCAAGTTTGGTTCAAATCCATCGCTGGTGGAGTTCAGAATGCTCTTTGATTATAAGTGAACTATAAATCCTAGCAACTACAACTCCCAAATTACAAAATCAATCCTCGCCCAACCCCACTAGCATTCACATTTGGGTGTATTGGGTATTTGTGCCCAGTTTGGTCCAGTGAATGAAAATGCATCCTGCATATCAGATATTTACATTATGATTTATAACAGTAGTAAAATGACTGTTATGAAGTAGCAATGAAAACAATATTATGGTTGGGGGTCACCACAACATGGGGGACTGTATTAAGGGGTCACGCCATTAGGAAGGTTCAGAAAATGCTAGAACGGCTTGGTGGGCATTGACCTTGAGTTTGGGAGTTGTAGTTCACCTAAATCCAGAGAGCACTGTGGACTCAAACAATGATCAATCTGGACCAAACTTGGCACAAACACTCAATATGTCCAAATGTGGACTCTGGTGGAGTTTGGGGAAAATAGACCTTGACATTTGGGAGTTGTAGTTGCTGGGATTTATAGTTCACCTACAATCAAAGAGCATTCTGAACCCCACCAATGATAGAATTGGGCCAAACTTCCCACACAGAACCCCCATGACCAACAGAAAATACTGTGTTTTCTGATGGTCTTTGACCCCTCTGATACCCCCTCACGACCCCCCCCAGGGGTCCCGATCCCCAGGTTGAGAAACACTGGTCTACGGTATTGAAGTTAGCTGAGAGGTTCAAGAGAACCAACAGGGACAGACTCCCTCTGTCAAGCTGTCTGTGGAGATTGTCCACTAAGGCAACCAAGGCTGTCTCAGTTCCATGATCCGGTCTGAAACCAGATTGCAACAAATCCAGAACATGGTAGGTAGAACATGGTCCTCCTCTTCCCCCTAAATATGTTTTAGGTGATCCAAACGAGGAGGACGTGTTTATTCCACTTATTTTGGAAGAACTGACCAACATTCACACACTGCATGGTCAGAACGGAAAGAAAGTACTGCTTCCAAAATATGGACAAAAGCAAAATGGAGAGCTTTACCCCCATCTTTCCTAATGGGACAGAACCGTGGGTTGCCCATGGAGCCCAGTCATTGAAAGACTCCCCCGTTCAGCTGCTCCCTTGGGAATGGGCGCCCTTTTCTCTACCTCGCAGCTCTTAAGTGTCTCTAAATATAACCCTCCGGGAACTGCTTGGGGGTTGCAGTCATCCGTGTATTTATTCATATCAGTTGCATGAGGGGTCAGAGGCTATTCCTGAAAGACACAGAGCACAGCAGATGCAAACCTCTTCTCTGATCAGCTCTCTGCCCAAAAGGGAGACGTTTTCTCTCCTGCTCCGAGAGCCGATTGCCCTGCTGGTTAATGGGAATGGAATCCCCACTCAGGTCAAGGAAAGGAACCCTTTGTTCTGACCAAAATACCAAGTTGCCTAAACATTACTCTGTGGGGCATAAAGATAAAGCTGTTGCAATTATCCATTCTTGTATTGTCGGAGGCTTTCATGGCTGGAATCACTGAGTTGCTGTGAGTTTTTTTGGGCTGTATGGCCATGTTCTAGCAGCATTCTCTCCTGACATTTCATCTGCATCTGTGGCTAATGGTATCTTCAGAGAATCTGTTGGCAGTGAAGCAAGTGGAATGTATTTTTTTCCATGTTAGGAGCAACTTGAGAAATTGCAAGTCGCTTCTGGTGTGAGAGAATTGGCCGTCTGCAAGGATGTTGCCAGGGCACGCCTGGATGTTTGATGTTTTGCCATCCTTGTGGAAGGCTTCTTTCGTGTCCCCGCATGGGGAGCTGGAGCTGACACAGGGAACTCAACCCCCTCTCCCCAGATTCGAACCACTGACCCGTTTAGTCAGCAGTCTTGATGGCACAGGGATTTAACCCATTGCGTCACCAGGAGCTCCTGCGAAGTGTATATACTAGGGCTGGGCGGTTTCGTTTCGTTAATTCGTAATTCGTTAATAATTCGTTAATTTTTTCAATTACAAAACGATAACGAACCATTCTGGAGCAATTATTAAAAAAAACGAATTTTCAAAAACGTTTTGTAAATGCTTCGTATTTCGATATTGTATTCGTTTCGTTATTGTTTTGAGGTCGTTTCGTTATTATTTCCGCATGTCTGGGCCAGTTTTATGGTTTAATTAGTGAAAAAAAATTATATTATCACACCAACAGTCAACAACAGAGGGAGAGGGAAGCTTCAGAAGGTTTTGGAGGTTTTTTAGCGTATTTCGCGGTCGCGTCCGCCATTAACGAATCGATTCGTTATTGTTTCGGAAATCGCTTCGTTAATTTTTTACCATTTATGAAATTTCGTAAATATCGAACTTTTTAAAAGGAAAATTTTGTAATTATTTTAAATATCGAAACAAAAAAACCCCCTAAATACAAATCGATTTTAGAAACAAATTTTTCCGTTGTTACCCAGGCCTAGTATATACCTGTGGAATAATGTCCAGGGTGGGAGAAAGAACCTTTGTCAGTTCTCAACCTGGGGTCCCCAGATATTTTTGGCCTACAACTCCCAGAAATCCTAACGGCTGGTAAACTGGATGGAATTTCTGGGAGTTGTAGGCCAAAAACATCTGGGGACCCCCAGATTGAGAACCACTGGTTTAAAGCAATTGTGAATGTTGCAATTAGCAAGCATGAATTAGCATTTGAATAGCCATGAAGTCTGCAAAGTCAATCAGTGAGGGTCTCTCCAGAGAGGTAGCCTGGCCTCTCTTGCCTGGAGGCATCCAGACAACATTCTTGCATTTTAGGGCCCTTCCACACAGCCATATAACCCAGAATATCAAGGCAGATAATCCACAATATCTGCTCCAGTGGCATAGCATGTTAAACCGCTGAGCTGTTGAACTTGCTAACTGAAAGGTCAGCGGTTCGAAACCTGGGAACGGAGTGAGCTCCCGCTGTTAGGCTCAGCTTCTGCCAACCTAGCAGTTTGAAAACATGTAAATGTGAGAAGATCAATAGGTACTGCTTCTGCAGGAACGTAACAGTGCTCCATGCAGTCATGCTGGCCACATGACTTTGGAGGTGTCTACAGACAATGCTGGCTCTTTAGCTTAGAAATGGAGATGAGCAACCCCCCCCCCCCCCCCCCCCCCCCCCGCCAGAGTTGGACACGACTAGACTTAATGTCAAGGGGTAACCTTTACCTTTTTATCTGCTTTGAACTGGGTTATCTGAGTCCACACTACCATATAATCCAGTTTAATGTGGATTTTTTATACAGCTGTGTGGAAGGGGCCTAGGAATTATGTCAGTTAAACCCTATGTGTACTTTCCAACGTTCTTGATTTAGCAGGGACTGCCTTGATTTTTTTTTTGTCGTGTCAGGACTGACTTGAGAAACTGCAAGTCGCTTCTGGTGTGAGAGAATTGGCCGTCAGCAAGGACGTTGGCCAGGGGATGCCCAGATGTTTTGATGTTTTACCATCCTTTGGGAGGCTTCTCTCATGTCCCTGCATGAGGAGCTGGAGCTGACAGAGGGAGCTCATCCGCACTCTCCCTGGATTCGAACCTGCGACCTGTCAGTCTTCAGTCCTGCCGTCACAGAGGTTTAACCCACTGCGCCACCGGGGGCTCCTGCCTTGATGAATCCTCCTTTATCCCACTTTTTCAACTGCTTTAGACACACCTCGCTTTGGGAGGGACGAAGTTGGCTCTATTAAATAGGTAGGGTTTTCTCAGAGGACCAGCCAATCCAAGGATGATTTTGCTGGAGGTACAAAGTTTGAAAACCATTTGCCAACCTGAAGTTGATGAACATGGCCGCTGTCACTCTGCTTCTTACCTTTTGTCCCTGGAAGACGCTTTGGAGGGGCGCAACTTCGCAGTCTTTGTGAGCCCCAAAGACTTTGCACATGGAGCAGGTGGGCACCTCACAGGTTAAGCAATAGATGTTGATCTTCTCGTCCTCGTGATCTTTGCACATTGGGTGGTTGCCCTTCTTCAGGGGTCGGCTGGAGGGAACACAAGGAAAACAACATGGCGCATTGAAAACAGAAGCTAAACTGATGAATTAACGCTAGGGAGGAGGGATGCCATACTCTCCAACATTTCACAGATGAAAGCCAGGACATACTTGGCCAAGCAACATCAGAGTGTAGCTAAGATTGCAAAATTACTCCAGAGGAAGAAAAGACGAACTACCCAGTTTCTCCAACAATAAGACCCAACCAGAATATAAGTCATAGCATGATTTTTCCGCAGTATACTCGTAATGTAAGCCCTACCCCAAAAATAAGGAAGTCATTCCATGCCAAGTGGTTTATTTATTTACTTACTTACTATACTTGTATACCGCCTTTCTCAGCCTTGTTGGCAACTCAAGGCGGTCTAAACCTTCCCACCATCATGTATCTAATTTTTTTTCAAATTTTAGCTGTAGCACCATTTAGATGTGAAACGTAAGTTTCCCAAAAGTGAGGTCTCTAACTGCAATTGTTGATCTAGACCCCCTTATCTGAAGGGTAGTCAGCCAGCGTGTGCATGACATTTCAGAAAGTGCCATTTTGGGAGTCCAATAAAATTGAGCCAACAATGTGATGTGGCGGCAAAAAAAGCCAATGGGATTTTGCCCTGCATCAATAGGAGCATAGTGTCTAGATCTAGGGAAGTCATGCTACCCCTCTATTCTGCTTTGGTTAGACCACACCTGGAATATTGTGTCCAATTCTGGGCACCACAATTCAAGAGAGATATTGACAAGCTGGAATGTGTCCAGAGGAGGGCGACTAAAATGATCAAGGGTCTGGAGAACAAGCCCTATGAGGAGCGGCTTAAGGAGCTGGGCATGTTTAGCCTGAAGGCTGAGAGGAGATATGATAGCCATGTATAAATATGTGAAAGGAAGCCTCAGGGAGGAGGGAGCAAGCTTGTTTTCTGCTTCCCTGGAGACTAGGATGCGAACAATGGCTTCAAACTACAGAAAGGAGATTCCATCTGAACATGAGGAAGAACTTCCTGACTGTGAGAGCTGTTCAGCAGTGGAACTCTCTGCCCCGGAGTGTGGTGGAGGCTCCTTCTTTGGAGGCTTTAAAACAGAGGCTGGATGGCCATCTGTCAGGGGTGATTTGAATGCAATTTTCCTGCTTCTTGGCAGGGGGTTGGACTGGATGGCCCATGAGGTCTCTTCCAACTCTTTGATTCTATGATTCAATATTCGGACTGCAACAATTTCCATGCAAACAAAGATACGGACTTGAAATTTTGACCAAGTCTTATGCTTATGCGGGACATAACACTGCCAAATTTGCGACTACCCAGCATCTATAACCACACTGCAGGATCTCTTCAAATCTGGCACTTTCGGCACAAATGGTGAAATCTACCAAAGTTCAAAGCCAATTATTTAAAAAGCATCTACCTGAATATGCTTGTGAATATTATCACCTGAAAGAGGAAATTTTGGTCTACAAGATTGATACGTTTTTGTTTTGCAATGTGACCATTAAGTATCCATTTAGGTCAAAGTATGTTACTTTTTGTGCACTTGTGCATTTTGCTTTATGCATCCTCATGGTCCTGCTAGTTACTGCATGGCTATCGGGCATGGCCCCTATGGCAATGGGGATGATGTTTTCAATGTGATATATAATATACTTTGACCTGAGTAAATGGATACTTGATGGTCGCATTGCAAAACAAAAACAAATCAGTTTTGTAGAGCAAAATTTTCTCTTTCAGATGATACTATTCACAAGCATATTGAGGTAGGTGCTTTTTAAATAATTGGCTTCGAACTTTACCATTTGCACCAAAAGTGCCAGATTTGAAGAGATCCTTCAGGGCGGTTATAGATTATTGGTAGTTGCAAATTTGGCAGTAGTATGTCCAACACAAGCATAATACTTGGTCAAAATTTCAAGTCCGTATCTTCATTTGCATGGAAATTGTTGCAGTCTGAATACTGGTCAAAATTTATCATGACACATTTTGATGCACAATTAGTATCAACTTGTTTGACCGGATTTTGCGCCCATAATGTTAAAAGTAATTTCATCGGAATCAGCAGAAAAAACTATACAGGATTTCAATTTACTAGCCATTCTTATGCATTTAGTTTCAATTTTATTAGACCCCCCCCCCCCAATGGCATTTTCTTAAATGTCATTTGCATGCCGACTGACTACCCTTCAGATGGTAAAGGTAAAAGGTAACTCTGGGGTGTGGTGCTCATCTCCATTTCTAAGCCAAGAGCCGGCGTTGTCCGTAGACACCTCCAAGGTCATGTGGCCAGCATGACTGCATGGAGCGCCGTTACCTTCCCACCGGAGCGGTACCTATTGATCTACTCACATTTGCATGTTTTCAAACTGCTAGGTTGGCAGAAGCTGAGGCTGACAGAAAAAGCTCACACCGCTCCCGGATTCGAACCTGTGACCTACATCCAGAGAGCACTGATGCTTCTGGACCAAACTTGGCATGAATACTCAATGTGACCAAATGTGGACACTGGTGCAGTTCGGGGAAGATAGACCTTGACATTTGGGAGTTGTAGTGGCTGGGATTTATAGTTCACCTATAATCAAAGAGCATTCTGAACCCACCAATGATAGAATTGGGCCAAACTTCCACGGAACCCCCACGATCAACAGAAAATACTGTGTTTTCTAATTGTCTTTGGTGACCCCTCTGGCACCCCCTCGCAACCCCCCTAGGGGTCTCGACACCCAGGTTGAGAAACAATGTCCTATAGCTTGAGTAAAGCTGTTGGAATATTGAGTAAAGGGGGCTACAGTCGTAGAATCATAGAATAATAGAGTTGGATGAGACCACATAAGTCACCCAGTCCAACCCCCTACCATGCAGGGAAAGCACAATCAAAGCACCCCTAACAGATGGCCACCCAGCCTCAGTTTAAAAACTTCCAAGGAAAGAGCTTCCACCACACTCTGGGCAGAGAGTTCCATTGTTGAACAGCTCTTCTTACAGTCAGGAAGTTCTTCCTAATGTTCAGGTAGAATCTCCTTTCCTGTTATTTGAACCCGTTGCTTCATTGAGTCCTAGTCTCCAGGGCAGCAGAAAGGAAGCCTGCTCCCTCTTCCTTATGACATCCATGCACATATTTATACATGGTGATCATATCTACTCTCATCTTCTCTTCTGCAAATTTAACAGAATCAGCTCTTTAAGACCTTTGATCAATTTCATCGTTCCTCCACATCTATGGTTAAAATGTTCTCTATAGGAATCTCTCGCTCCTCTAGTGTGACCCTGGCCATCTTCTCTGTTCATGTTGGAGAACCTCAATATTTCTAGAAAGAACTAGAAATCTCTATAGGCTCTGAAGTGTGATTCTGTGGTCAGCTTCCAACCAAGATCAAACATCAAATTGTGCTGAAAGATCTAGAAATTCCTAAACAAATGTTATCTCATGTATTGTCGAAGGCTTTCATGGCCGGAATCACTGGGCTGTTGTAGTTTTTTTCGGGCTATATGGCCATGTTCTAGAGGCATTCTCTCCTGATGTTTTGCCTGCATCTATGGCAAGACCTCACAACCTCTGAGGATGCTTGCCATAGATGCAGGCAAAACGTCAGGAGAGAATGCCTCTAGAACATGGCCATATAGCAAAAAAAAAAAAAAACAAAAAAAAAACCTACAACAACCCAATGTTATCTCATGTTTTTTTAAAATAGTAATATTTAATCTGTTTTTCATGCTTATGAAGGTTCTTCATTCCACTGCTTTAAGTAGGTTGACTCTGAGTGTGATCAAGTTTGGGGCCATATTGTCAGAGAGAGCAAGAAGTATTTGTCTCCTGCCTCTGCTGACAATATAATTTGAGAAATTTTGCTCTACTTGGGGCATGATGAAAGGTGTTACGTCAGCTAATGTGTGTATATATGAAGCAGAATCCAGGTATAGAGCTTTAAAAGGTTACTTTTGGGACTACAATGGCCCTAGTCATGCTAAGTCAAGGATCTTGTTGTCCAAAACTTTTCAGAAGTGTTCAATGTTCAAATAACAAGCCCTGGGAACTGGATAATCATGAGCTGCTGTCTTCAAGATCTATTTGAGAGCTTTACATTGTTCTCTGGCTGACCATGATCACAAACACCACTTTTCCCAATCATCCAGTTTTGGATAGGTGACTCCATTATCATCCCTCAACATTGGACATGGCGGTGGGGATGATGGGATTTACAATCCCTCAGTATCTGAGTTTGGGCAACCAAACCAACTAAATCAACCCTGGTTCCGAATCGACAGTGTCCTCTTGGGCACCTTCTACACCGCAGCATAAAATCCAGATTATCTGCTCTGAACTGGATTATATGGCAGTGTAGACTCCTATAATCCAGTTCAATGCAGATAATGTGGATTATCTGATTTGATAATGTGGATTGTATGGCAGTGTAGAAGGGGGCTGAGTACTGTATATACTCGAGTATAAGCCTAGATTTTCAACCGTTTTTATCGGCTAAAAAAGTTCCTCTCAGCTTATACTCGGGTCAACGTTATTTAATATTTTACTCTGTTATTATTGTTTTTATTACATGTATTATTTTACTCTATTTATTATTATTATTGCATTTATTATTTTACTCATTATTATTACATTATTATTTTACTTTATTATTGTTATTATTACATTTATTATTTTACTCTATTATTACTGTTATTATTAAAGGTAAAGGTAAAGGTAGTCCCCTGACATTAAGTCCAGTCATGTCTGACTCTGGGGGTGTGGTGCTCATCTCCATTTCTAAGCCGAAGAGCCAGCGTTGTCCGTAGACACCTCCAAGGTCATGACTGCATGGAGCGCCGTTACCTTCCCGCCGGAGCGGTACCTATTGATCTACTCACTTTTGCATGTTTTCGAACTGCTAGGTTGGCAGAAGCTAGGGCTGACAGCGGAAGCTCACGCCGCTCCCCGGAATCGAACCTGCGACCTTTCGATCAACAAGCTCAGCAGCTCAGTGCTTTAACCCACTGCGCCACCGGGGGCTGTTAT